GTTATCTATTGGGCGGCGGGCTTGTTGCTTTGGAAATAAAGTCACAAACCTGCCTGCGCAGAGTCACAGGGGCTGCCTTTCTCCTTCCTCCTGAAGGGCCTGTGTCGCTTGCTCTGATCCTACCTGAGGGTCCCATCTTTCCCTGCAAATGGCTGCTGTGTTAAAAGCCATGAGTGTACTGCCACCAGCACCACAGGATTTACTCTCGCCTTTCCCTTTATTCAGTTATTCTTCCTCTGACACTGAAGAATCATTAGTCACAATGTACAGACAGAAGTTCAAATCTAGCATCCGCATAAAGTAGTTTGAGAATCATTAAGTCATATGCCTGTGAAAACAAGTTTACTACTATAGCACAATGTTTGTGATGGGGTTATTTTTGTCTTTAGCCTTATGATGCAGTCAAAATACTTTTTCCAAAAGTTTCCTCCATTATTCTCCTCCCACTCTTCACTATGGTTGTGTGTTATCTACTTATATAATGCTCAGATTTATGTGCTAGTATTTGTATTCCATTTTAGGTTTTCCCCTATCCTAGTTGAATTTAATTATTTATTTGGGAGGCATACAAAACCTTATCATGATTCTAAGAGTCAGAGGTGTACACACAAAAGCCATATTCTCAAAGAAATGTTGGTCCCCCACCCACCCACGTGACACACGCTGATTTCGTCATTGCTTCTCCACTCCGTTCCCACTGAGCTCTACACACAGCCGTCCCCGTCAGCTTCCGTTCTATTCTTCCTATATTTCTTTTACAAAAATGCACAGATGTACAACTATTTTCTTACATCTTGTTTCTTACCACAAAGGCAGTACACTACAGATAGATATTACATTTTATATCGATTTTTTTTTTTTTTTGCTTAATTTATATCCTGGAAAGTATTCCATATCTCCTCCTAGACGTTGTGGGTTATCTTTTCTTCCAGCTCCGTAGTACTTCGATGTATGGCCATGTCATGTTGTATTCAGCCATGCTCCTGCCATTGGGCATTGTGACTGCTTCCAATCTTTGGTCATTGTACACAACGCCACCATAAACAACCTCCTGTGCGCGTATTCCCAGTGTCGGGGAGAGAGCCTCAGGATCGAGGCCTATAGATGAGCGTACAGTAGTCTTGTTAGATATTTCCAAATTTCTGTCCACCACTCCTTTGTCTTCCCTCCAATAATATAAGAAGAGGCCAGTTTTCTGAGTTTCATTAACAGAAGGTATTACCATGTTGGTTTGTTTTTTTTTTTTAACTTTTGCTCATTAAATAGATAAGGAATAGTGTCTTGGTTTTGAGTTTCTTTACTTAGGAGTATATGTAAACATTTCTTTGATATGTTTAAGGGTCACTTTGGGGGTTTTGCAAATTTTCTTTCATGTATTTTTCTCATTTCCCAACAGATTTTGATCCCCTGCCCCGGATTTTTCAGAGTCCCTTACAATACTTGGGATGTTTGCACTGAATCCACAGTACGGGCTATAGATACTTCTCATGTTTGTCAGTTGTCTTTTAACTTAATCATGTTCTTTACTGTGCAGATTTCGTGGAGTACAATGCATTGTTATTTTATTTCATTATTTCTGGATTTTGAGTCAGAAAGTTGGAAAGACAAAAATAAGTAAGTAAAAGTAGAAAACTTCTCCTTACATTTAGATCAACGAGGAGTGCACCACATCTTATTCTAGCACTGGCATGGCTTTCCATTTTCCATTTCGATGCCCGACCTGGTTGGAGATTGTTCCTGTGTCTGGCGTGAGGCACGAATCTAATTCTGTATTTTCCCAAATGGCCACTCCATTGTCCCAGTATTATTCATTAAAAAGCCTATCTTTAGCACAGTAATTTTAGATGCAGCCTTCATCCTATACAATATTTCCATATGGAGGTGGGTCTATTTATGGGCGAGCTCTTCTATTTTATTCCAACTGGTTTATTTATCTACTTACACAGCAGTACCACACTGCTTCATAAAAAGATGTGTCCAGTGGGCTGAGACGCCTGGGAGCGCCTGCTTCGGGCCTTAGCAGTGTCCGGGGTCATTCCTGCAGGCCTGTTTTGTGCGTGTAAGTGTCAAATGGCCTACCTCCATAAAAAGTCATGTTGGTATTCTTGTTGGTGCTGAAACGAATTTGCAAATGTACTTAGAACTGACATCTTTATAGAGTTAGGTAACTGTCTCTAAAGTCAAAGGATGTTTTTGTAATCTGTTCAAAAGTGCTTAAAATTTTTCTTTATATAGCATAGGTTTTGTACTTTTGTTGTTAAATATATTCCTAAGTATTTCTTCTTATCGCTATTACAAATGGAGTTATGTTCCCTAGTTAATGTATATGTTAATTTATATACTGTTAATGCTTTCTATATGACTTAATTTTATTTATTTATTTTTGTCTTTTGGAGAAAGGATTTCACTATACAGTTCAGATTGGCCTTGAACTGGCAGTGATCCTCCTGCCTCAGCCTCCCGAGCACTGGGATTATAGACGTGCAACAACACACCCAATTTGTTATTCTTACTGGCTCCCTAAAGCATTCCAGGTGGCTATAGCATATCAAAATAAAGAAAGTTTTACTACACGTCAAAATTCCCTTTTTGAAGTGTCTGGGACCAAAAGTGTTTCTGAGGGCTTTTAGAAGCCCTGGGCTTTGGGGCTTTTTCAGATTTTGAAATATTTGTGTGTGCACATTGAGATATCTGGGGATGGGGCCCTGTCTAAAGTCAAAACCATTCATGCTTTATACATACTTCACACATATAGCCTGAGGTATTTTTATATATTTTGGATGATTTTATGCGTGAAACTGTTTTATGTTGTGATAGTTTCTATCTGTGGTATCATGTTAGTTCTCTCAAATGCTTCAGATTTTATTTGGATTTTTTGATGAGTCCTCCTTACACTTTCTGACCATAGCAGGCTACTAGTTGGCTTCTCTTAATTGTGCTAACTGGGTCTCCAGGAAAGGTGAAATACCTTGAGGAGCCTCACCTGGCTCCTGATCTTGGAGGGGTGGCTTCGAGTGTTTTCTGTGTTAGCTAAGATACTGACTTTAGTCCTCAGACATAAATATGGTTTCACATTAGGAAGGTGCGTCTCCTTATGGACAGGGATTTTAACTACCATCGTATCAAGGAGACCAACAGAAGGAAGGCAGCAAGCATTTTGTGCTTTTGCTAGATGAGCTACACCACATGCAAGTTTGAATGTTTCTCTTTATGGAATTGTACCAGTTAACAAAAAAATAAAACGATATTTTGAGCCTGCCAGATAGCTCAGCGGATTAAAGTGCCTGCTTAGGCAGACACAGGGACCAGGATTCGATCCCCAGTGTGCTGTGCCAGCCCTGCCCTAGGGGTGCGCTGGGACAGAGATCCTATAGACCCTGTAGTTAATACATTTTTTAAAAAAGAATATCTCTATTTTGTTTTCACTAATGAAATACCCTCTGTCTGCTGTGGCTTCTGTCTTGGTGTCCCCTCCTCCCCAGAGCCTCATGCAGTGAGGGGCAGCTTCTGGAGCTGGCGGTTAATTCATGATCCAGTGCTGGGATTATGGGTGAGAGTGCTCACTCACCCTGAGGCAGATGTCCTGGATGCAGTAGAGGGAAGGAGAGCGGCTTGTTCCCGCCTCTGCCTCCGCCGCCGCTCCTCCCTTTTTACTCTTACTGCTTCCTACCGCCATGAACGGCTGCCCTCCGCCATGTGCCACCCTGCTTGGAGCCAGCCGAGTATGGACTGAACCTGCTCACACTGTGAGCTACATGAACCTTTCCTTCCTTAATTTTGAGTGTCAGGTATTTTGTCCCAGCAACGAGAGAAAAGTAACCGAGACACTAACTGAAGTGTGCGGCAGGTCATCAACGTGCGCCTTCACGGAGCCGAGAGACACCAGGCACTGCACGCCGCCAGACCAGCGCATGCCCCGCGGTCTGTAAAGGCATCTTGGCAGAAAAGGAGACCAAGAGACAGAGAAAGATCATGAGGCAGACGAGGCAGAGGTGGGGGTGCCTGAGCAAGCCTCTGGCCCTAGCTACCTACTCACAAGAAATACACGAGACAGAAGGGAATGTCAAACCACTCCACTAGGATGCGGTCAGTGGAGTATAGCCATGGAAACTATTGAACAAATGGTCTGATTTCTTCCACAAAGGACGTAAGGGGATGAAGCGCAAGATGGGAGGACTCTGTATTATTTATACAACAGATAGATATAGATTATATAGATATACATAGATGTAAAGAAACTTCAAAGATGTATCAACCAACTGCAATGCACGGGCTTTATCTGAATCTCAGTTCAAATAAAAACATTTATAAGAACAACTGAAAGAATAAATATTTACTGAATGTTTGATTAAGGAATGATTGATTTTTCTAGCTATGTTCGTATTTTGGTTGCTTTGGTTAAAGTCTGTGTCTTTTTAGATACATATGAAATATTTACAAGAATGACATTTTGACTTGTATCAAGAAGAAGGCAGTAGTATTTTTTTGAAACAAGATTGGCTGCGTATTGACCTCGCCTGAAGCTGGGGATAGGATACACGAGCTTCATTACTCTCTTGCTCTTGCATATGTCTGAAATCATCTGTAAAACAGATTTTTTTGCAAGTTCTTCACCTACCATTGTTCGTGTACAGGCCCAAGCGGAGCATGCACTGGGAAACAAGGCAGAAACAACCCAGCTCCTCCCTACTGTATGCAAAGGTCACAGCTGTGGGGCGCTGAACTAAAGAAGCCAGTGGCCAGGTTCCTGCCCAGTACCCATGCTAAGAGCAGTGGCAAAAAGCCACCCCTGCCAGCCACCTTCGATGACATCTTGTACAGGCACAAGGAGCGCCCAAGGCCTCTTTGGTGCAAAGGTCCTAAGAGTTGCAGAGGCAAACCACAAGTCCAGTGGGCTTGCCCTGGGAGCCAGGAACCACAGTCCTGCCTTCCTCCACGCCCCCGAGCCCCTCCACCAGCCCCTTGCATCTCCCACTCCCACAGGAAGCCCCCAAACTCACATCATTCTCCGAGGTCCCACAGAGAATGCAGGACTTGCATTCTATGCACTGCCACTTGTAGGTCTTGACAGCCTCCGTCATGTTCAGGGTGAACTGCAGACAGGTCGGGTGACCTGCAGGAAACCAGAAGCAGCAGCATTAAGGCCAGAGAACATGAGAGGTCACCCCCACAGCACTAACCAGAAGTGCATTGGTGCCCAGCATGGAAAGAGGCGTGGGGGTCGTGTGGGCATTGCCAGCCCACAGGGGTCGGGGTAAGACCACCCACACTCCTCACTACATCAGCTATATCAGATGCAGGCACAAAGAAAGCAAGGAGCAGCAGCCGTCTTGCTAGGGATGGGTGCCAGCCAGCTCCCCTCGCCTGCACAGCCACATTCCCCCTTAGGTAGAACAGGCTGATGAGAGCGCAAAGTGCTTATCAGAGAAAGCCGAGAATAAACTGCAGCGCACAGAGCACACCGTGGAGGCCTCGGCATCGCCTCCTGGCCCCAGCTTCAGCAGCGGCAGGAACCACACGCAAGAGCTACTTGTAGCTGGGGCTTCCTGTTCACACTCACTTGGACTCCAGGGGGCAGGGACGTGCAGATCACAGAGT